TATCTTTTGCATAGGCACGCGTTGAGATGGAAGGGTGAGGAGGGAATTTCTTTGCAATTCTTCACAGGCATTGAAAATGGAGAGCAGTTTGATGCCACCAATGAGAGGGAATGCAGTGTATGCCTTTTTGATCTGCACCTGTCCGCCGTTGGTTGTCACTACTGTTCACCAGACAAATATGCTTGCTTGAATCATGCAAAGCAACTGTGTTCATGCTCTTGGGGTGCCAAATTTTTCCTGTTTCGTTACGACATCAATGAATTGACTATTCTGGTTGAAGCTTTGGAAGGTAAACTGAGTGCAGTATACCGATGGGCAAGACTAGATCTCGGACTGGCCCTGAGTTCATATGTATCTAAAGAGAATATGCAAGTCCCTGGTATCATCAATAAGTTTTCTTATCCCCCAGAAAGAACAGCAGTAAAAGAGACGAGTTTGCTGTCACCCATGGCTTTCTTAAAAGAGCAGAAAGTGAAAGAAAATATTAGTGAAATCCCACATTCAACTGGTTTCAATGGTAGAACAAGTTCACCGCAGAAAGCGAAACCATCTGGTGAGTTACCAGCTTTGAAAAATACAAAGGCATTTTCTGCAGCGCATAAGTCTTCCCTTGAGGTTGAAGAGGCAAAATATAGTTCTCAGTGCAAGGAAGAGGGATCCATACATCTGGCCCCCAATCATAGGATTCCAGTTTGTGAATCTTCCCATGTTGACAACTTGCCTGCAGAGAAACCTGAAATAAAGAAACCTTTGTTTTCAGGGGGCAGTGATGTTATACTCCTTAGTGATGATGAGGGAGAGGAACCCTTACCAATTTCCAAAAGTGCAAAGGACACCTCCACAAAGCATATAGGACCTTCTTATAGAATGGCATGTCCAAATGATATTGTGAGTACGGGTAATAGTACTAAAGACCCAGTCTTGACAACCACCCCTATCGCTAATATGGCTGTAATGGGTGAAGCGGATCCTAGTTTGTTTATTGATGGGGAGAGAATTAACTCTTCATCTAGTTCAGAGTGTCTAAAAGAAACAGATCTTGATAAAACAAAAACAAATGTTGGATCCAGTCCACAAGACCTATCTGCAAATGCTGAAGACTTTTCAAGTAGAATTGAGACTGGTGATTGTAATGTGGAAAATGTGGGTAGTGACTTTCTGTTTCCACAGTCAGGTGGCAGCCGAAAACCTGATAATGAGGATAGAGATAAAAAGATAGGATCAGATGCCCCCTCAAGGTTAACAGACAATGTACAAAATGAACAATTTATCCCATCTTGTACTCAAAATAATCTGGACAGGTACTTTCGCCAAAAGGGACCTCGCATAGCGAAGGTAGTGCGAAGAATCAACTGCAATGTTGAACCTCTGGAATCTGGAGTTGTGAATTCTGGAAAGTTGTGGTGTGATGCTCGGGCCATTTACCCCAAAGGTATGGTGCATGTAAATTTTCCACATAGCTTGTGTTCCCTTGGGCAGACTTTTTGAAGCAGACAGAACGTAAGCTTGTTTATTGTTTTGCAGGATTCAGGAGTCGCGTTAGGTACATAAGCATTATAGATCCAACAAGTATGTGCTATTATGTTTCAGAAATTCTGGATGCTGGACGGGATGGACCTTTATTTTTGGTAATTTAATTATTTATATTGGTCTGGAGTCAACGTTTCTTATGGTTTGTACATTCTATCTGATCTTGTTAAATATTGTTTTCCTGTCACCTTTTAAGATTGGCAATTGGCAATCACAGATTACTTGTTTGTTATTTGTGCTTCATTTTGAACTCAATGCAAATGGGCTGATTTATAGAGGAGTTTATAAATTTTTTGTAAATTTTCCTTGAAAAATGTTTCCTCATGTTCTTGACTTGCTGTCCTATGATTAGTGTATCATCAGCTTTCATCTTCTTTCCTACAAGCTTTCATTAAGCCTTTATGTGGTCAAACTTTTAACAGCCACGTGGAAATGAAAATACATGAATTTTAGGGTATATCTCTAGGATTAGTGTTTTCTATAAACAGTGGATACATGTTGTAGAAGGTACAATTTTGTGAATGAGGCCCCATATAACTAGGATATCTGTGCGGACCAGTTGCACAGTTTCGATGGCAGCATCTCTCATTTGCCTGGAATCTTGTAATATATGATCTCCTAAATTTTATGAGCCTAAGATCCCATTTCCTAGTCTCGTTGAAACCTTCATACTTATGTTTATGACCTATAGAATAGGACTCACTGATAGATATCAATGCAAATATGTCTCGGATATGGCCGGATTGAAACCTTCGTACTTATGTTTATGACGTATGGAATAGGACTCAATGATAGATATCAATGCAAATATGTCTCGGATATGGCCGGATACATAGCATATAACCGGATACAATTGGGATGTAAAATATTTTTAATTTTGGATAGGTTTGGGATATGCCAAAGGTGTGTGACATATATGCTTAGGATATGCGGGATACACGACAGATATGTTTAGGATACACCAGAACTAAAGATATATTATTTTTATAATGGTCCATGAAGTAAATAATTGAAACAAATGAAATAAATATTTTAAACAAAATATGGGAGTTCTTTTGCAAGCAAATATGATTTTGGCCTCAAAATGACTTATCTATTTGATTTGTCACTTATCGAACAAAGCCCTCTTATAATATGTCCCTACTTTATTTTTTTGATCAGATGTCCCTACTTATTTGACCCAGCTAGTATTTGGTCAATTAGATAATTCATCTTATACTATGTATTGCAATATAAAATATAATTGCATGAATATTAATTTTTTAACCATATATTTTGTAAATATTAAATTTCGTACAATATATAGATTACATAAAAAAGCACATATTTATTGACGTATCCTCCCGTATTGGTGACCTATATATTTAGATTTTTCCGAATCGTTATATCCATATCATGTTGTACCTATATACTGTGCTTCCTAGAGCATATTAGTGAGAAATGAAGTAAGCATGGTACGTATTACATTAACTTATGGACAAAACATATATCTGATAGACGATATGAAGTTCCATTATGGCTGTGTACAGATATTTTGTTATTTATCCATTTGATCTTTCTCTGGGTAAGACAGTCGGTAGATGTTAATACAACTTAAGGTGGTGGCTTCATGGGCATATCGGCCTGATAATTACTTACCCTAGAAAGAACAAGGAAAAAACACAATGTACATGACTGATGTATAATTTGCTATGCCTTTATTGTGAATTTACAAAACCACTGTCTCCGAACCTTGTGATAAAGATTGGCTCACTTGGAATGAATGAATGGGGACAGTTACAACCAATGGCAGATGCAAGAAAAGAAACATTCAACAGTATGACTTGTAACAATTTTTTTTGTTCTTTTCACCAGGTGCCCAAGAAAGCTAATAAAATGGCATTTTTCAGGTTTCCCTGGAGAATTGTCCTAGTGAAGTATTTGTTCATGTTTCGGCTGCCAGATGCTGGGAAATGGTTAGGGAGAGAGTGAATCAAGAGATCACAAAGCAACACAAGTTGGGAAGAATGAAGCTTCCTCCTTTGCAACCTCCTGGGAGTCTTGATGGCATGGAAATGTTTGGTTTTTCTTCACCGGCAATTGTGCAGGTAAACCTACAATTTAAACTGATCTCATGATTATCAGCTTGATGTGAATGGGCTTTTGGATTTTTATATTGAGCGCTTGTAATCTTTGTGTGAGTGCCTTAAATGCTTGCTATTTTCTAGTTTTGGGTGTTTTAGGGTGTTGCAGGAATGTGTTACTTTGATGGCTAACTATAAAATTCACAATATTGAGACTCGTGATTTGATTTTTTCTTTTGATAATCAGAACCTTTTAGAATGTTTAGGAATGAATCACATTCTTTTCTTAGGATATGCACCTTCTGCAGAAGTAGTTGGCCCACATTATTTTTAAATTTGATTCAGGATTTATATGCTAACATTTGAAATTTGATATGACACCCTTTATGACGTTTATTGAAGCATTTACATGAATCCCTCTATTTAGGATATTTTGCAATTGTTTCTGGTTTCTTTGAGAACATAAAACCACTGTTGTGGTTTGAAAGGATTATTGACACCCTCAGGATACGAGACCTGACATAAGGATAGAGACCTTCTTAATGGAAATGTAATGTTGCAGCAGAAAACACAAGCAAGGTTGGAGGTGGATAGATTGACCACCTCAACTAAAAAGGAGGCCTTCCACCATTTGCGCAGAGATATTTTTTTTGTTCCAAAACAGGATTTTGTTTTCTCCTTGTGTGTTTCTCTCTATTTTTAAATTTGTGAATAGCGAAATAGGTGAAAGTTCGCTTACACGTGACATAATTTTCAAACTTTTAAGTCTTTCTATTCTGATCACTAGCCATTTTATCAGTTACATAGCAACCTCTCTTTCCTCTGTCAGAAGTGTTTTAACTTATTTCTTTTGAATTTGCAATAGGCTATTCAAGCAATAGACCAAAATCGAGTCTGTACAGAGTACTGGAAGTCCCGGCCCCTGATGCATATTCCCCATCATTCTCAATCTGAAGACACCAGCAGGAACCTCTTGCTGAAGTCTGAGATTCCAACTGATGAGGAGTCTGGCAAGAGCGACGCATTGCTTGCCGGAGTTGATACAATAATCAATGGCCTATTCAAAAAGGCCAATCCGGAAGAACTAAATGCACTGTACAGCATCTTGAGTAAGAATAATTCAACAGCTGATCAATGCCTGGTGACTCAGCTTCTTAATGAAGAGATTCACAAGCGTCCAAGATGATTCATTTTCCAGTCTCATGATTGAGGTCTGGACTTTGCCATAACAATGTAAATGCCGGGTCTTATTTTCAGGTCACAAATTACGTCCTAACCTCGTTCCTTTTCTCAAAACCTCGTTCTGGCTCGTGGTGGAGAAGCTAAACATTCATCAGGTGGATGCTCACTTCTCCAGAATCATGCTATCCACATTCATTTAACAAATGCAACTGATTTTTGATGTTTCTGCCCCTTCTGCTTGAGCTTTAGTGTTCTGGGTTTTATATTCAGTGCAAGTAGTCTGAGAAGGAGCTCAAAATATTGATAGGAATTAACAGAAACAATAATCCATTTTTTATGGGAACTAGAAACAAGAATTATTTGCAGATGTGCAGGTTGGAACAGTGTAAATGCAAACAAAAATTTCTTTAAAATGTTGTTCACATTCCAATTTGTCTCTGTATAAAATGCCTTTCTGATTTGAGTGCTAGAGGAACATTTCATACGTTGACTCACTAAGCATTATCCAGTCAGTTTGATCTCTCTTGAGATTATTCACTTGATGGGGAAATACTGCAAGTGTTCTAATTGGTAGCAGCTAATGAATGCAGCATGTAATAAATTGGTCAATTTTCAGAGATGAATGATTTGCTTGAAGGATGACCTATCTGATAAACTTGAGAAAGCTCAAGAGGGCATGCTCTATTAGAACATCTGAGAACTTAATACCGAGGAGTGATAATGAAATCCATAGGTTCACCCCAGGGGCAGCCCAACATAAATAGGGGTTCTATGAGAAAATTTTATACAGGGTCATACTAATATTGTGTATGTATATATATATATTATTTTAATGATCATAATTTAATTATTTATTTATTTAACTAATTGGACTTCTTTCTACTAACAAATTCCATAATTTTGTATCAATATTCTTTCAATTCCTCAGATCATATATATTTGTAGGAACAAAAGGGAACTTTTTATTGATACATTTACATTCTTTTGAATCTCTTTTATGTTCTTATATTTTTATTGCATGATGTTGTTGTTCACTAATTAAGGTTGCGTTTGGCGTAATTTCTCAAAATAGACTCCATTTTAAAAATACACTTTACAAGATGAACTTTTAAACAAAGTCGATTGTTTGGTGAATATGTCTTGAAAGTACTTTTAACTTAAGAAATGAACTAAAGTATGAACGTGTGTTTGAAGGCAATATCTTGGATGTTCAAAATAGACATTGTTAATCATATTACACATACGTTTGATTTTAAAGCTAAACTCGTATTATATTTCGATGAATAAATTGCCATCAAATAAATTGCAAATGCAAAACCTTAAAACTGTAGACAATTGAGACATTGTTAAATCATATTTTTGGGTCGATATATTTCAACATGTTGAGATCAAATTCGCACCGATACTCAAGTCAAGCTTGGCACTACTAACCCCTTTTCACGATCAACGATTATAAATAAATCAATACAAAATTTTTGGCTTACAAAAAAATTTGGTATAATACGATTTCAATACTATTGTGATATACTAGCAACCATATTATTTTTTTTCCTATTTATACATTGAATAAGTATGTATTATTTTACAAAAATTAGGGATAATAGTGGAATTTAACTTCTAAACTTTAATAACCAAATCAACTTCGCGAGAAGTTGAAAAGCCCTGTTTTCAGAAGCTACCGAAAGAGGCTTCTTTTGTTTTTTTTTTTTTTTCAACGGTCATGAATGTTCAGGCCAGCTTTCACATACCTCTACTAGTTCCCTCCCTAGTCCGATTAAAGGTAAGCCATCTATGGTGGAACTAAAAAATTCCTAGAAAATAAATTTTTTATGACTTAATTCTACGAAGTTGTCAAGATTTGAATTCAGATAGTGCACCAAACAGTGAAAGCAACCGCAGAAGCACTTGCACCCATAAGAAGCCCATTTTGATTGTCAGCCAAACAGAGCCCAAATCATCACTTCCACTTCTAGTTATATTTTGTTTGTCACTGATAATAAATTTATGAAGTGCCTCTGTTTGAAATTGAATGAATTCTTCTTCTTCTTCTTCTTTTTTTTTAACGTTTTTCATACCTAAAGTCATATCTTCTAGACATATTAATGATTAAAAATTAATTTACAAATAAAACAACATAACTTTATAATTACTAATTTGAAATAAAATAAAATAAAATATTAAGTATAAGAACAACACAACTTGGTAAAAGCAAAACCCCCCAAATTCTATTGTTTTGTTATAGTTAATATCCTCCTTTAATCTTTTTGTGCCACAAATTCAAGTCCAACCGGCCAATTACTACCGAATAAAAAAAAAATTGTAGCATAACAATAAAGATTTTGTTACTGCTAAATTAAATTAGATAAAGTATATAATAATAAAAATTTATACATTATATGTTATATGATTATATATTGAGATTCCTATATATTGTTGTTCAAGATACATATTTTATAAGAAAGGAGAGAAAAATTTACCTTTTGTTTTACACTTTACAGGTGCTGCTATATAAAAAAATAGGGTTAATTATAAATTACACCCTGAAAGATCGTTCGAATCTCAATTTACACCCTCAAAGATAGAAATTTGTATCAATGTGCACCCCTAAAGATAAAAAATCTCAATTTGCACCCTCCAAAATAGAAATTTGTATCAATGTGCACCTAAAATTAAATTGATAAATTATACTTAGATCTCCTTATGCTTGTCACTTAATCATTTGGATCCCTTTACATTTAGAATATTACTCTTACATCTCAAGACGTTTGTGCACGTGTAACACATAACCCATTTTCGTTGATATCTGTTAATATAACCGTTAAAAAATATGATTTTATCCCAATAATAAATTATAATTTCATATTACCCTTTATTTTATGGGTTCAATATACTCTAAAGTTCAAAATCAAGCTTATCATTTGAATCTCTAATAGAATAAAGGATTGCACATAGAGTGATATATTGCATTGGATATAAAAAATATTATATAAATGTCTACATTCTATTAAACATTCAAATAATAAGCTTAATTTTGAAATTTAGAGTATATCAGACCCACAAAATAAAGGGTAATATGAAATTATAATTTTTTATTAGGATAAAATCATATTTTTTTAACGGTTATATTAAGCGATATCAACGAAAATGGGTTACGTGTTACACGTGCACAAACGTTATGAGATGTAGGAGTAATATTCTAAATGTGAAGGGATCCAAATGATTAAGTGACAAACATGAGGAGATCTATGTATAATTTATCAAATTTAGTTTTAAGTGCACCTTAATACAAATTTTTATCTTTGAAGGTGCAAATTGAGATTTTTTATCTTTGGGGCTGCACATTGATACAAATTTCTATCTTTGAGGGTACAAATTAAAAAATTTTATCTTTGGGGGTCTAAATTGAGAATTTGAACTATCTTTCAGGGTGTAACTTGCAATTAATACAAAAAATATTAGTAGTTGTGTCATTGTGAGCACCAACCACCAAGCCAGGGGAGGAAAGAGACAGAGAGAGATGTTGAGCAGGAGAGCCGTTGAGATAAAGAGGAATGAGCATGAAAATTTTTTGGGACAAAATCAAATTTAATATTCATACTAGGATTTTTATTTGAGATTATTGTTAGTCCGGTACACAATATATGACTTAATTATGTAAAAGTCATTCGGGTAAAACTATTTGTAGAGATGTCTTTTTTATTTGTGAATACCAAATATACCTACGTGTAAATACTAACCGACACAATATCATGGTTTGAAAACAATAGAAAATCAAGTGTCATTCCCATGAAATCCGGCCACTAAGATATCGCGCAAAACTGGATGTTTGAAATTCAAACAAAAAATGCCGTAAAATCCATGAGATTTTAACCAAATCAAAAACACAAACAACCAAAAATCTTGAGAACCAAAAAATATTTCGCCTGTGTATTGGTTGTACATACATTGAAGCACCAATGATTAATACAATATGACATGACAGTGATACATTACAATATAACAACTTCATTAACACTTCAATAATTAATAAAAGATGTGCAATTGCATTCCCTGATTCATGCACAACCTAAATGACATATTTTACATTGTGACATCACAAATTGACATCTATATTTCAACAAATACACATATTATTTTTAAGGAATGACAATGTTACATCACAGTGTAACAACACAGTACAACAACCGACGTTGAAATAGAAAATCAGATAAAGCAATACAAATTGGGGCAGGAGCAGATTGCTTTAATGAATGAATATATTACTCTATTTGGACATGGATAGCCAAACTAGTCCGTCAAGTGCAGAGCAAAGAGAAAACTCTTGCAAAAATGGATCGTGGTGGGCTTATGGAGAAGTTAGTGAGGTATAAGATTTTAGTTTTTCCTTTCACCTGATGTTGGAAAACCATAAGTAGAAAAGTTAAAATAGAAGAAGATGTTAAAGAAAACGAGCACCAGACATTGCAGTAGAAAATCAGACGTTGAAGTATAACACTAGCTGTTGAAGTAGAAGAAGATGATATATGTCTAAAATTCAAAAAATAAAGATCCTGTAAAATAGTAAATCGCTGATTTAATACAACAAATCCTACGAAAAAATGAACTGTCAAACTTAGTAGTCCATAAATTATGGAAAAGGGTATTTCAGTAAAAGAAAAATTTTAAAAACTGTCACTATGTATTTAGGCATAATACACTTTTAACTAATAGTTCTTATGTACAATACATTTTCGGCAAATATTTTTTCACAAATAAGTAGTTTATATGGTACCTATTCACAATTTTTGATTTTTATTTTAAGGATTTTATTAGGCTTAACTAAATAGAGAGTAACTTTGGACTTAACAAAGTTAGACATTGATTTAGGATATTAAAATTTTGATCCTATCTAAAACTTTAAAAAATAAAGTGAAATAAAGGTTGAGTCCTCCTTAATGGACTTATAATGATTTGAGTCCGTCAAAAAAACTTATTTGGAGGTAAGTTCATTTTTAATCTTATTAGTAAGTAGTTAAGTCCATTTTTTTAATCTCAAAAATACTCTTAACAGTGTTAATTTGGTCTGTTATGGAAAGCTAAAGATGTTAAGTACATGAGATATATATGGAGGTCGATGATTGAATATAGAAATGTTTGATTTATGATGATAATTGTCGATTATAAACTTTCCATAATACTTCAAATTCAAATTTTAGTCATTATTTTGTCTGTTATACATTCAAATCACTAGCCTTCGAGATTTTTGGAGTGATTTGAAGGTGATGAAGGTTGAAGTTGGAGTTCCAGTTTTTGCAATTGGACTATGAGTCAGAGTTCAAGATTTTGAAGCTAGAGTATGATTTCGAGTTACCATTTGCTAGAGTTCAGGCTGATCTTGACTTCGTATGCTAAAATTTCTTATTTAGAATACTTAAGTTATTTATTGTAATTATCTACTTCATCTATTCCGAATAACATAGTGTTCTATTTCGA